GCTGTATGGCGTTTAAGTGGTAAAGAGGTTGGTTTGTTTATCATCCATTAATCAACTGAATCTTACTCAGCCAAGGGAATACTGGACCTTGGGATCTTAGCTAATGGGAAATGCAAGGTAATGTGATTTTGCTAAAATTCTAGTAGAAGTCGTTAAATTATATCAAACTTCCTAAAAATTTCTGTGGAATAACTGTGAAGTTGCTGTGAGCTGAACTGTTTACCATGGGTCACCTGGACGATGCTAATTTCCTAAATCAAGGTCAATTCTCTTTTTATTGCTGAGCCCTGAGAGCTTATTACTATTTTATTACAATGAATGCATAGGCTATGACTAATTTTTAGAAAATATTTTACAGCACATTTATTTTAATTTATTAGATACTTCCACGTATGCTTGCTAAATAAACAGGAATTTGAATGGTTTACATGTCCATTTAGATTTAATTTCTTTCTTGTGGCTTTGGATGTCTTTGTAGTGGCATGAATCTGTTTTAATTTAAAGATGGTCCAGAAACAAAACGTCACATCAGAACGGTCCTAAACTTTGTAAGATATACCTCTAGAGATCTGGATCTGAATTTAAGCTACAGAACAAGCTCACTCAATTATTATTATTTGAACCACCAAACTCTAAGGTCAGAATAGTCTGAAGCTTTTCGATATTCACAATTTGTATAAACTTTTTTGATATGGCAGGCGGCAGCAATTACTCAGTCACTATTCTCATGCAATGGATCTCTCCCTGTAAAATGAATTTTCCTCTACCTGTGTCATGTCAGACAGCAGATCTTGAAATCTCTCCGAACTTACCTCACATTCATAGTGTCCCATATCTTCATTGGAAGGGTTCTTGACCACCAGGACTATTATGCCACTCCGTGGTTCACTGAAAGTCTGGTATTTACTCGTGTCTTTCAACAGTAGACCATCTTTGTACCATCTGCATGTGGAAAACACCGAGTATAAGCCAGGAAAAAATATGCAGTGTCAAGAAGTCCCCAGCTCACTGATCCATCTATCAGACCAGTGGGCAAACAACTCAAGAATTAATCATTAGACAAAAGTTTGGATCCTGGAAGATGGGTCTACAGGTGGGTAGGTCACACGTGGATACTGAACTGCACAGGTTTATGAGATTCTTCTCAAAAAATCTCATGCAGGCAAAAGGGCTTCTAATCATGCAAAGCTATGCTGAGCTTTTTGTCAGAATACCCCAGACTAGTTGCTGATAAAATAAATTCAAGTGTAAGAGAGGGAGGATAAAGGAACGATAAAATGTTGTCAGGGCATTAGATCTGATACAGTCCTATGGCAGTTATTACCTGTAGGTATTTCTTTTCAGTTGCTAGCTAGAATAAATTGCTGAGAATCTCAGGAATGTTGGGATTGGGAAGAGCCAGCTTTGGGATGGGTTTAAGGTGGAAGACACAGAGAAGAAAGGGTCATAACCTTGAAAGTGCAGGAGACTCTTCTGACCATGCAAAATGGGAAAACAGGTTTTGTTCCAGTGTGGCTTGAAGAACTGACCTGATTTGAGGCCTAGGTGCTCCTTCGATAGTACAGGTAAACTGAGCATCTTCGCCCTCCACAAAATAAGCATTTCTAACCTTGTTCACAAACCGTGGTGGCACTGCAAAACAAGGATGAACGTAGCTAGTAGCCGGAAATATGACCGGATACGAAGGATGTGTCCCTGACCAGATAATTCTCATGATGTCTGCAAACAAGATACTAAAGACCAATTTTTTTTAACCTAAGAACAATTGACTACACCTGTACATCAAATAAGTTTTTTAAAGTATTATCTAGTAGATGTTATACAGAACTTCTGGAATGTCTTAATATTCATGTTTAAGGTATTACATAGCAAACCCCTTTAAAACAATGCATCTGTGCAGGACTTTACCTTGAACAAGTATCTTTCCTAAGGTACTGGCATTTCCAGCAGGACTGGAAGCAAAGCACATGTACTGTCCTGAGTCAACACCTGTTAGGTTGTCCAAGATCAATGTGCAGGAACCGTCAGGATCTTCTATTATAATGTGATGGGGATCCACCTCCACAGGCTTTCCATCTTAAAGATAAAGAGGAAAAAATTCTTTGTAAAAAGTTTAGTATCAATTATGTTATCTCCTTGGGAATTTCATCCAGCTTTTTGGCTTGAGAGGACCGAGAGCTATGTTTGCTTTATTGCAGCTGATGTTGGTAGTTGAGGAATGAGCTCTTCATCTTCCTCCAGCTCTCTGCAAAACATCCTCTGGGCAAAGCACTGTTGAGGGACCTCATACGTCATCAATCCTCATTTAAAAGTGAAATTCCCCCAGAATATGTGCTGTGCAGTTATAGCTCTGATTTGCTAGCCAAAGGAACACTTCCACAGTGACTGTAAACATGCAGAACAGATCTTTACAAGGTGTGAACTTAGAGCAAAGCTGTTTCCTCTGCAACACAGCAATGCTGGGGAAAAGAGTATGTCTGCACAGCTGCCTGTGCTATGACATAGAATCATAGAATCATAGAATCGTTTAGGTTGGAAAAGACCTTTAAGATCACCCAGTCCAACCATTAACCTACACAATCAAATCCACACTAACCCAGTTAAGGGTAGACTAGACTAAACCATGTCCCCAAGTGCCACATCTACCCGTTTTTTGAACACTTCCAGGGATGGTGACTCCACCACCTCTCTGGGCAGCCTGTTCCAATGGAAACATCTGGACTAGTTCAAACAAGTTGTTCATTTACTAGAAGTTATTTAACTGCCACAAGGTGTGGGTTTATACGGGCTAATAGGCAAACCTGAAAAAGCAGGGTATATTAGCTCACAGGAAGATCTACGTTACTTGGGTTGTTTAGTAGCTAACTTTAAGACTAGACTTGGGTATCTCTAGGTGGTCAGCTTTTAGATTACCCACTAACCAATTAGCACAAAGCAATACAGACAGACAACAAATTTGGAGGATGCATTTCATGACTTGCTGCTCATACCTTTGTACCAGCTGACAGATGGCTTGGGAGCTCCCATAACTTTGCAAGCCAGCTTGACTGTCTCTCCCAGCTCAGCTGTACAATCTGCCAGTTCTTCCTCAAAGTCTGGAGGTACTGAAACATCAGAATAAGCGTGTTAGTCCAGAGGATGGGGGCTCTTTCCATAGGATGGCTGCTACGAGGCAAGATAAGAATAGGGACAATTTTTGCAAACCTGTGAGGTTCAGAATGGAAAACTGAACAGAAAATTTTAGCAGCTAATGACTTTCCAGGTGACATGCTGTCCTGGATTATCTGAGACTAAATTCAGTCTGTCAAATGTCTGTTGCTGGCTATAAAGATGGACCATAAAAAAAAAAAAAAAAGGATTTGTTGCTGATCTGGAAGCATTTTAGGCCATGATTTTAATAAGAACATCTATTATTCAGACACCACACAGCTGTCACAGTTAAGATAATTCCCCAATTAAAATGCACCCTTGATATCCAAACTAGTATTCTGTTGGTCTCCATACAATAAAATCTATGCTTTGTTAAGGGACTTTTTTTTTTAATTTATTACTACCATATGAAACTATGCAAAATTATTCTCATAGTCTTCCTCATTAGAACACCTCACTAAAAGCACAAAAATAAAATGCCCAGACTTGTTTTCAGTGTATATACACTAAAATCAACTCTGTTCCAGCATTTTAAGATGCCAAATTTCCTTATTCTGTAAAGGACACATTTCTAGCTTATACCCGGACGATAAAAATCTAATGTCCCTGCTGATAAATTTTGTGGATAGAAGATTGGTGGAATCGCAAATGACAGTGAGGACAAAGCAGCCTGAATGACAAGATAAAAATCCAAAGCAAACCCATGTGCCCAGATACAGCAATGTAAGCCAGAAGTCGAGTGGAGGATTCGGAACCCAACAAAGTCACAGGGGGCTTTATACTGGTATGAGTAGGACTCCAGGTCAGGTCCTGAGACTGTTTTTGCCACCGGAGTCTGGTGCTCGTCATGCAGTGGGACAGGGCCTTTGTCACCAAATTCTGTGGTCATCTACCCTTTTGCAATCCCTGCCAGATCAAATGCATCTCTAGTGCCAGCTCTGCAATTTGTGTTTTAGAAGTTTCAGTAACGTGTTTCTTTTCTCCAGTGATGCACATTTTCTGGGCTGTTTTGCTGGAAAACAACATCCTCTGCTTATTGAAAAAAACGTATGAATATGAAGACAGGGGAGCTGAGCAACCACTTCAGCCTCTGACTCTTGATCCTCCATCAAAGGCAATCCACATCACTTGAAACAGCCAGGGATAGCCAGCTCTTCTCAGCTCATCCGCCTGTGTTTTCCACACTTGGGTTACAGACACTGAAGAGTAATTAGAAAGTTACTCATTTGCTCTGGTATTCCCTCAAAATCTGTACAGGTCCTGTGGGACCTCTGTTGTGTAAATTTAATCTCTTTAGTTATACACAGTCTTGGCTGTCTCGACGGTAAATGGAGAGATTCCAACACCACTGTCCCATCCTGATAAAGGTGCCTTCCCCAGCTCAGGTGGAGGACCTAACACTTCTATAATCATTCCAGTTAAAGCTTATTGCGTGCTGTCAAGTCACAGGAGTCATTTACAGCAGTCTTTGATGTGATTAAAGGAAAACCTCCAACCCTAGTTCGGTTTAAGAGGTGGCAGATGACCCTAGATAGTTTCTCTCCCTCTTTTGCTAATCTCCTCCCTGAATCAGGGAGACCACCCAAGAAAAAACAAGGAGTTTTGGGCTATCCTGGGCCATACTCACTCCAGACAGGCTCGTTGATCCGCTGCTGTATGCCACAGATCTCCTTCACCCAGGAGTTCTTGATAATCACTGTACGTGCCTGAAGGAGGTACTTGCGGACCAAGTCTTCCCGTTCGTGCCAGATCTCAAATGCTCGGTCATCCCCTTCTACAAGGTCGTTCACATCTATGTTGTTCAGCTGTGTGACAGAAGGGGGACAAGAAAGTCAACACACATCCTGTGTTCTTAGGGCTGAATTTCAGCCAGAACCTTTTCCACAACTGAAATCCCAGAGTTTAAGACAGTTCAGGTCTGGACCTAGCCTTTGTGAATGAGAAACATCTTCAATCAAGGTTTGAAATGGAGAGAACTATTAAACACCAAGTCTCCTGCTACCAATGTGTACCCTCGTCAGTGGATATGAGTTGTGCCATTCCCATTAAACCTATATTAGATGCTCCAACAGCAAAAGGGATAGTTTACACCGCTTTTAAAGATTTTTCAGATTGCATGAGCAGTGCAATACGGTTTTGGCTGAACAGGAGTCAGGGTCACTTTGCAAATCCTTTCCCCAGTATACTTGACTTTCTGATTACCAAACAGACATTTTCCTGGGAATAATTATCACATCAGGAAAATAACATCCAGCATTAAAGGGTATCCCAGGGTGGGACACACCAACCCCACAGTGCAGCACTGTTGGGCCCAGGAACAGCACAATTAGGGACAACATGAAAAGAAATTACAGAACAGGCTCTCTCTATACAAAGCATCCCTTTTTTTCCCTTGAAAAATAAAATCTGCCTATGAATATCAATGAGGACAGAGATAAGGACTTTCAGAAGACCCTGACTGGGCTTGGTCAAGAACTCCATCAGGTTTTTGTTTGATTGGTTTTTCCTGGAGTTGAACATCTACTGCCTTGGGAAAACTCTTCCTGCAATTTCTTGCAGTTTTAAACTGAGCCCTGAATGTCTGAAGGTGAGCTGGTCAAATCCGCTGAATTTTTCATTTCTAAATAGGAATTGGTGTCAGGAAAGGACATAACCAGCAGAAAGAACCACTGGGAATGTAGCATATGACTAAACCAGCATTTCTTCCAGTTAACCACCAACATTATAGACTGCCAAAACCAAAGATCTACAAATGCTAGCAAATACTATAGACAGCAAAATTCACATCAGTATCATGTACTTATGCAGTTAACCCAATGAGGTAACAGAGATGAACAAACTCTTGCACAAGCAATTTCATTGCTGCACGATAAAAGTCCACCCATGCTTCTGATAGTTTCTGACATGTGTAACAGAGAGGTTTCGGAATAGACATAGATTCTACTTGTGCTTCAAAGACTTTTGGAAACAAAGGAATAGCTCAAAAGGATTAATGAAATATCCAAGCTGGATATAAACATGAAGTTCTCAATGAGAGAGAAATGCTCTAGGTGAGGATATAATGATCAGACCTTCATGATGTTCTTGAAGATGTAACTGTAGGTGTCTGTCTTTGTGTCTCGCTTTGGTTTGCAGATCACAAGATAATTTTTGAAGAGGAAGACATGTCTTTTGTGTCCTTTCCATGCCATTCTAGCTCCTGGAGCTCCTTCCCACACAATGAAGTGGCCCTGATAGGAAAAAGAAGGAAGAGCACATACTGATGAATCTAGAATAATTACCACAATGATGTCTCACCTTCCTTTTTCAGTGAACAGACAACTAATGTTTACTGTTACATCGTCACCTTACGTGTCTCTTTTATTACAGCACAGCAGACTGTTTCTAATGCTAAAGGTGATGCATCAGACTGATAGCAGCGACAGGGGTACACGCAGTGGTTGTCATTACATTGTCCTTTAAATGGTATTATTTGTTGCCAGAAAAATACAGAGCTCCTCTCAGGTAGGCCCACTGTTGGAAATGAAAATGCTAATGGAAAATCATATTTTGTGTGTTATGTGGACACTTTATATGCTCACTTAGTCTCCTTCACCAGAGCAGGACATTCATCTCACGTACCTTCGGACATGTACAGCTCAGTTAGTGACATGGGTTCCCCCTTGGCATCATTAGGGAGAAGTAGGCACTCTTGGGGTGTGACTGGACTCTTTTTTGGGTGTCTAAATGTGGGTAGATGAGTGCCCAGCAGAGAATCACTGTAATTTAGCCTTACAACTCCACTCAGCAGTAGACTGTGATTCCCATGGAAGACATAAGATACAAACAGGCGGAGTAAATTACTTGCCCAGCATGACACAGTCAGTCTTCAAAGAAACAGGAATTTGAGTAAGGCCGTTGAAAGTCCTAGACCAGTGTCCCAATAGCTGGGTCACCTTTCCTCTGTGTTCCTAAACCACACATCTGTTTCATGAAAGAGACCTGGAGAAGCAGACAGGTCTTGTGAAGATATATGAAGAGCTGTGGGAGAACATCCATAAATTGATGTAATGTTTTCACATGGAGCATATGCCACGTATACTATGCTGTCTTGTACTGACATCCCAGCAAACTAGGCTCTTCAGAAGAAATTTGTCAAATGAAAGCATGCAGATTGAAAAGGCCCAGTGAGCTTCTAACACTTGAGGAAACAACAGGAAAAACCACTGATGCCAGTAATTTCAGGAGTTGGTCCATGTAGCTTGCCAATAATAAGAGAGGAGGAGGAAAAAATAAAATGCTTTAAAATCATATGGGGGCCCAGAAGAAATATGTTTCTGTTTGATGAGCAGGTTGGAAAAGCAAATAAGTACATTATGTGTGAATTGCTCCATAAGCATCTATGCTCTGGTGTTTCAAACCTTAATCAAGCCAGGAGACCCATCTCTCTGAACAGTAAGAAAGGCAATAAACAAATACTCCTTCAGATATGGTTTCTAAAGAAGATTCTTGTAGGACCTAAGGCTACTTAGAAACTAATGAAGGCATGCATAACACTAACACTGAGAATTTCCAGTTACCTGTCGGATGGGTTCACCAAGGCTTTCCAAGGTCCCCGGATAATTCTCAATGAGTGAGACATGGAGGTTGTTTTCTGCTCTTCGGGTGAGTGCAGATACAATGGCATAAGCCTGCTCCAGCAAAGTGCAGTTTTGGCTATTTCTTGCTTTGTTTCGGATTAATTCCTGTGGAAGAATGAAGAAAATATTACTGGGCAGTCAGAAGAAAAAAAAAACGTTTCCTTGATAGACAAAGAGTTTCTCAATATCCATTCCAGCTCTTTCATCTGAGCAACTTTTACCCCATTCTTTCACCATGTGCTGCTTAGTTACTAAAGTCTCCTCTTTCCTACCCATTCTGCAGCCTCACTGACTTAGCCAGTCTGGCTTTTCCTTACATTAATTGGTATTAAACAAAGACAAAGTTGAAGCAAATACCAGATATGCTTCAGTGATTGAAACCCCAAACACCCAAAGCAATCCTAAGTGTATCCATTGCGTTTCTCTTGTGCTTACCCTGACAATACCATGAGGCAAGCAATTCATGCAGCAGTGCTAAACTAAAAGGTGCTATTAGATTAAAAAGAAGAGAGGATGGAAAAGATATGAAATGGCACTTATCCTTTTCTTCTACATTTGTTCCTGTTCCTGTCTTTTAGTGATGAAGGCATGCTCACTCTCTTCCAAGAGATCCTTTAAAATGTCGGTGTTTGTGTGGAGGCAGGTGCTCAAAACTAGAAAGTTAATTTGAACCCTCTTCAAACTATTCAAACTCCTCACTTCTGTAATGCTAGAATACAGAAACATTTTGGCAGTCTTCTTTCTGACTATCCTAGTGCTACTCCCCATGAAAAATACCATTAAAAAATGCTACTTTGAAACTTTCATTTGTGGTCTGGGCTAGAACCTGAGAGAGTAGGACAGATGAAAACTTGAAAGATGAAACATTTCAGGATGGTAGAATGAGGCAAAACTTTCCAGAAAACAAAAATTTCATCTTACTATAACATCAGTATAAAACACAAGGAGAGAAGCTGGTAGGTTAAGTTTTTTACACATTGGAAATTGCTTATTTTCATAACATACCTGTTGCTGAGTGTGAAGCAAATTCATACTTGTCATGGATATATACATGAATGTATTCATATATATATATGCATATAAGCATATATTTTTTATATGTATATGTATATATTTAAAGATCATTCAGATAAAGATTGCTGAACTTTATGGGGTTGGAGACTGTGAACCTCTACCTGGATTTACATTTAAAAAACTATTTAGAGGGCACCATCACTGGTCACGATTACTGTCTGTCTGTCTTACACAACTTTCAATTGTAGTTGCATCAGAAGAAAGCCAAGAAATATGAAATAAAAATAAAATATTTTTCTGCACAAGGCTCACAATGCAGAACATAAACCTATCAGATATAAGCACATAACAAAAGCTTTTCACCTTGATTATAGTCTGGTACTGCTGGATCCTGTTTATGGGTTTTTCCAGGTAGTGCTGCAATGGTGGGATAAGTGGCTGTGAAGGATCTTCATTAGTTAAAATTTCATCTGTGTATCTCTGAAAAAATACGTGGAAGAATGAGGAAAGGTTGTTATAAAGAACAATTGAAAGGATGACTCCCGGAAAAATGCTCGTATGATGCTGGTTCATAGACCTAACTCAGCCAAAACTGGATAGCTCTACCAGACCTTATTACCCCATATTTTGGACATCTGTAACCCTCCCTGATCCTTTATCAGTGAGTTATCATTTTAGACTGCAATATTTCTGAAATGCTGAATTTGTCTACTTTTCCAGTGCAGGACTGATGCTGGGGAAAGGTGATCCAAAGCTTGCAGAACCAGATGGTGTGACAGGAAAGATCAGCGTTGTTGTGGGGGTGGGAGGGCAGGAGGGAGTGAACGCTGTGCCAGCAACTGGTACCAGACCTCAGTCGAGAGTAGTCCGCGTGTTTGCAGTGCCAGCGACCGGAGCCAGTGAGGGTCTCGGCACCGGCACCTGGAGTGGAAGCACAGGTCATGGGGTCCATGTGCTCGGACATCAGCCACTGAGCTGGATGTTTATCCTTTCCACTGACCTGTTGCACCTGGGTGCAAGCGTGTGCAATTCACCAGCAAACTTTCAAGCTGGACTAGCTACAAATAGGAGACCCAGGATCCAGGCATGGATATTAGGGAGGCTGGGAGCTTGTGCTGATAATTTGAGGGATCTGTGAATGTGGGGTGAGTGTGAACACGTGCATTTGTTTGCTAGTGAGCATCAAGCTGGACTAGCTGGTGAGATAGGAGGCTCATGGAGAGGGTAAAAGTGCTCAGGATCTGGGCAGGGATATTGGATGGACAGAGGAGCCATGCTGCTACTCAAGGGATCCACAAACATGCATGTGCTCATGGGTCTGGGGTGTTGTGTGTGTGTTTTCACTAGTGAACTTTAATCCTGAGCAGCTGGAGAGGAGAAACAGGATTTTCCTACCTATACTAATATTTTATGTGAGTCCACTTGGTCTTATAATGCGGTGGCCCTTAAAACATCCCTTAATTGCAATTATATAATCACAGCCACATTCATATCTGTATAATATTTATAATATTCATAAATACAAAAGCATATGTAAATATGTTCCCATATTGATTGTACCAACCAGGAAGAGCTAAACAGTGAATACAAAATTATTATATTTAGCAATGATTTCCCACAAAAATATTTAATAATCTTTTTTCAGGACCACATTTGTGATTAATAACTACATTTCTTGATGCACTTTGTTATAGAATGCATGTTCAGC